AAGGTGAGAATTCTAACACTGACTCACCATTGTCTGCTTGAATGAATGACAATGTTGTTGTTATTAAGTGTTGTTGAGTCAGTTCCACCTTATAGCTACCGTCTATATGGTTTCCAAGGAGCAGCTGGCAACTGGTGGGTTTCAACTGCCAACCTTGTGGTTCACAGTCAACTACTGATCCTACAGCACCACACCCAGGAATCCATAGAAATGAAAGACAATAGAACTTGAAAATTTTAATTTTGGCTTAGGAATCAGAGGGAGATGGGCTCACAATCTGGCTCTACTACTTCTTTGCTGTGAGATTTTTAGAAAAACTACTCAACCTCTTTGAAGCTCAGATTCCCTATCTTAAAATGGAATTATCCTAGGTTTTGTCTCAAAGTGTTTTTATTAAGATAAATAAAACAGGACATATTTAGTACTTAGCACAACAGAGAGAACAGAGGGGTAGTAAATGTTAGATATGATTTACTGTGAAGTCTCAAAAACTGGATTTCTTCTTATACATTTGTTGCTGTTAAGTGCCCAAGTTGATTCTGACCCATAGCAACCCTGTGTAGGGTTTCCAAGGAGCAGCTGGTGAGCTTGAACTACCAACCCTGCAGTTCAAACAGCTTTGCAGTCTGGCACATTAACCCACAGTGCCACACCAGGACTCCTTCTTACACATATCTAAGGTATTTTATGTGCATTCTTCTAAGGGGCAAGAACTTATCTATAGTGTTAGTAGGAATCTTTAAAAATGACCAGACATTGCAAATAATTTAAAATAATACTTTACATACTGCCACATTTGGGCTGGGCTAATTGGGAAATACAGTAACTGTATATTTAATGACTGGTTCTAAACCTACCTCTGACTTCTGACCACTCTTGTAAAGTTCAGGCAGCTGCATGAGTGTCTCTGCAGATACATCTTTCTCCAAAACACCGTAAATGACGGGAGGAGCAGAGGTAAAGAGGAGGTTGAAGAAGATCAAAACCCAATAGTCAGTCATGGATGTTCCTGAAAATCCACAAAAGAACTGGTACCAGAAAAGGAGGTTCACATAGGCCTAGGGATACAAAAAAAGGAATATTCAAATCTTAGAAATAGTAACTTGTGCTATGATTACACATTCCAAAGAAGCCACTTTGACCTGTGTATTCTTGGCACCTGAAATTCAGTTTCCTCACTTATTAAATGGGTGACCACAACCTACCTTCCAGCTTTTCTTGGTAAATGTGATATTAAATCAAAACACACATACACCCCTCAAACTATGTGGCAGCAGTGTGCCATTTAGTCCATTCTGATTCATGGTGGTGGTGGTGGTGGTTATGTGCCATGGAGTCGGCTCTGACTCATAGTGAGCCTGCATAGGGTTTCTGGGGAAGTAAATCTTTATAGGAGCAGAAAGCCTCATCTTCCTCCCATGGAACACTGGTAGTTTCAAACTGCTCACCTTGAGGTTAGCAGCTCAACTCGTAACCACTATGCTACAGTGACCCTGTAAGGGGTTTCTGTTTCCATGGTTACAAATCTTTGCAGGAGCAGAAAGCCTCATATTTCTCCTGCAGAGTGACTGGTAAATTTGAACTGCTAACCTTGTGGTTAGCAGTCCAGCTCATAATCCACTATGCTACCAGGTTCCTACTAGGTACAAAGTACTTCCTAACAATTTTGGAATCTTTTTAATATTAGAATTTCTTAACCATAGTGTTTAATCTGGGAATGGTGAAGGTGGGGGTAGAGTTGCTGCAGAGTGAGAAGAAGGGAGAAAAACGTAAAGGTATTTTAAACAAAACCACCTTTGGAGGGGGGGACTCCTCTGTAAATGTCATTGACAAAGTCCTGGAATTTTCCATTACAAGTGCTACCTTTTTTTCAGTATTAGATACAGGAGTCAGAAATAGTCTCTGTGCATTGACTTGGAAGTTGTTTACTTCATAGCAAGTTGAGACCCCCAAAAGCTCTCAAACTCAAATTTGTACATATCCAATTAGTTTTTTAAGAAAAGCCTACAGAAGCAGATTTTCAGCCACATAGAGCCTGTCTGCTTTATACACCCAACCAAACTTCCCCAGCTTCTGCTAGCCATGGATAAGAAGCCAATCCGTAGTTACAAGGACCCTGGCCTTGTCTGTCCTTTGGATTTCTCTGATCCAGAGACTCCCTTCCTTGCTGCAAGAGGGCATCCTCAAGACACAGTTAAGATGGCCTTCCTTTTCTCTCTTGCACAGATTTTTCAGGATCTCTTCTTCCTGTGGCTCCCTGAGCTGCATCCTCTGGGAGTCTTCCTGCTGTGAGGGACTGTCCACTGCTAGCCTGTATGTGGCTATCAATGTGTCAGTCACAATAACTAGCTTGTGTAACTCAACCTCACTGTCTTGCAGTCGCTTTTTTCTTGATCAGCCCCAAATTTCCTCAAACACACTACACTCAGAATCACACACTCAGAAAAACACTTTGACTTTAAAGTATTGTTTTAAATGCCTGAATTTTCATGAAACTTTGAATAAACACTAGTTTAATTAGTATCTAGTCCATTGAATGTAGGGGGAAACTTCTAATCCTTTATGCAACCTCAGCAGAACCACCGGGAGCATCCATTGTGCTGCGGGGAAAAAAAATGGTCCTGCTGACAGGCACATACATGCACACAGATCTAAATGACACATGTGAGGTACCCTACAATGACAGCATTTCATTAAGGTACCTACAATGGCAGGTATTGTTGTTGTGTGCCCCCAAGTTACTTCTGCCTCATGGCAAACCTATGACACACAGTCAAACTGCTCCATAGGGTTTCTAGGTTGTAATTTCTATGGAAGTACATGTCTTTTTTTCCCCTGGAAGCTACTGAATGTGAACCACTAATATTGCAGTTAGCATTGTCACCATGGCTTTTTAATATTTCACCATTGCTGTCGAGTTGGTTCTAACTCACAGTGATCCTGTATAGGCTTTCCAAGGAGTGGCTGGTGGGTTTGAATTACAGATCTTACAGTTCAAATGGAACTTGCATTCCAGTGCATATCCTACAGTGCTACACCAGGATTCTAGTATTTTAATGCTGTTGTTGTTCAATGCCTTGGAATTGGTTCCAACTCATAGCAACCCTGTGTAGGGCTTCCAAGGAACAGCTGGGTGGTGTGAACTACTGACCTTGGGGTTAGCAGTCCAGTGCTTATCCTACAGCATTTCAATAAAGTAGTATCAATTTATATTTACTACTTACTAGTAAATCTATGTATGGGCTTTAAACACTAAGAATAAATTCGATTTAGGCAAACATGATGTATTTATAGCCCCCTGCCTGGAAGCAATCCAGTTCAACATGATTCTGTAAAAAAGGAAACTGAACTCTAAATGGTATACCAAAGGTTGTACCAGGCATAGGATTTTAATCAAATTCTGCCTTTTAGGAATATAATCTTAATAAAGTTCTTTACCATCGTGTAAGTATCAAGCCCAAACACATTCTCTAGGCTCGCTAGAGAATTCTTGTATCTGTGAGGGCTAACAGCTACAGAGTAAGCTACAATGTGGGGTTTTTATCTGTATTTGGTGTCTTCAATAATTCTCAAGGAATTGCAATCTGGGGACAGCAAACATTTCTTGGTATCTCCTGTAAAACAGAAGCAAACATTTCCATTCCCTACTGACAGGCGTATTAAACATTTCACAATTTTGCTTGTCACAACCTTTTTATGGAAGGTCAAAAATTAGATTTTAAATGAAACAGACAGGACCTAATTGAATTTAAATGCATAGGGAGTAGAAAATGCTAGCAGATGGACAAGCCTAGCAATTTGCTGTCAGCAGCTGAAACATAGCACATTCCCCAATTATTTCTGGGAAGACAGCAGGAGAGCTCCTGGCTGCTTCCAAACATTAAAGCACAGTCAGCTTTGTGCCGGACACTTCTTCTTCATCCTTTATGCAACTGTGACCAGATGGGGGTGGGGACGAATTCTCTAGAGTCACATACCACATTCTTGTAGAAAAAATAGAGAATCATGTTGGAAAGTCGCATGTAACACCAGTGCCCATGGACAAGAAGGAGCTTGCTGAGATGTCTGAACTGAGAAATAGCAAAGTCACTGGCCATCACAGCCTGCAGAGGCAAAAGGGAGAGAAGGCAACGCTGAGCAATTAAACACATGGCAACAGGGACACAGCAATGGGAAACCTGATCATCACTGGGCTCAGATGAGTCAAATCTGTTATTTGAACCTTATGTACATTCCAAACAAAGAAAAGAGCCTCACTAGTCTGCCCAGGGCTACCATTCAGCTCTTCAATACAGTCACATGAAACAAACCTTCTTTCCTGATTACTACTCATGATGTAGTTTCAGCAAACCACCAATTTCCAGGAAAAGCAGCTCTTAGCAAGTGCTCAGTCTTCTTCATTACAATGTGCATTCGTCTTCTCCTCGATGAGGGAATAGTGGGAAGTATCACAATCATGATTTCATGGGACTTTGTATAATGTGTCAAACAAAGAGGTGACCGATGTCCTCATCATGCACAGAAACAGTATTATTACAATTCTCAGGAAACCCAAGTCTCATATCCTACCTGCTTCTGATGGCATTTATTCAATACTTGAAAAGCAGTTTCTTAGATGTTAAGATTTTACCTGAATTTTGCAATTTCGTGAATTAAACACGATCATGAACACATATAAGGAGCTCTGGTAGCATAGGGGTTACGAATTGGGTTGTGAATCTTAAAGTCAGTAGTTCGAAACTACCAGCCGCTCTGTGGGAGAAAGATGAGGCTTTCTGCTCCCGTAAAGATTTACAGCCTTGGAAACCCTGTACAGGGTCATTATCGGTCGGAGCTGACTCGATGACACATAACAACAACCACAACATACACACATATACACAGGAGAGTAAACAGGACACTCCACCCCTTGCTTCTGTCAGTCTCCATTCTCTTCCTCCTTTTCTTTTTCTTTCTCAAAAACTTGAGGTTATTACCCAAATCCTTAGTAGCTTTCTTCAGTGTCAGAATTCACGTAGTTATTATCGCTGCTGTTATTAAGTGCCTTCGAGTTGGGTTCCGACTCTTAGCAACCCTGCATAGGGTTCCCAAGGAGCAGCTGGTGAATCTGAACCGCCAACCCTGCAGTTCAAATGAACCTTGTGGTCCAGTGCGTTATCCCACAGTGACACACAAGGACTCCTACAGTTATTGCAGAGCTAAAAATGTCCATTCTTATGATGTTTATAGGGTTTATTTTTAAAACTGAACAAGCAAACAACACATCTAAAATTAACCAGGAAAATACTGGGTGCATAACACACACTTAGTAAATAACTAATGAATGAAGGCATAAACGTTCTGCCTCCCAATCTGGGGCTATCTGCAGACAGCCACTGCCTTTTAGGAGTTACATAATCCTAGCAAAGTTCTTTGCCATCAGATAAGTATGAAGCCCAAGTACACTGTCTAGGCTTGCTAGATAATTCTTGTATCTGTGAGTGCTAACAACAACAGCTACATACTAAGCAAAGCAGAGATCTTATCATGGAGATACTGCCCTTGAATGGGCAGGTCAAGATCATGGTCCTTGGGTGCACAGTGATCACTCACCTGCATGCCTTCTTGACCTGAGACCCCTATTCCAATATCTGCCACCTGTATCATACTAACATCATTGGCACCATCACCTTTATGAGAAAGGAAAAAATGATGAGAAACACAATGAGGGAAAAGGAAAGGGCCTAAAACTTGCAAATCAATAGTGAGTGGCTGCTAAAGCAAAGGAAAAAAATCCTTGAGGGCTAGTTAAGCATGAATTAAATGTGACATCCGACTGACACCAAGAAGTCCAAACACCTTCAGACTGCTTTAAAGTCCTTCACAGTAACCCTGGTGTCTACCTGGACTAATGTCTCCTTTTCCATGCCGCCTGCTTTACGTTCCATTCTCCACACACACCCTGCTACTTCCAGTCCTGTACATGCTGTTTCTCTAGTCTCATTACACTGGCCTCATCACTCCTACCCCACCGTGCTCTCTCTCCACTTAGCTGTCACTTCCTTTGGGAAACTTACCCATATTCCTTTCAAGAAAAGAACACATTCCCATTCCTTAGGCTCCAGCATCACCGCATGTATTATATGTCATACTGGGTTACATGATATTATGGTTACATATCGATTCATTGGTGTCCCCCGGCATACTAGTAGGTTCTTAAAAGGAGGTACTACATTCCTGCTGGTAATGGACATTTGTTGTTTTCAACTGTCTACCTCTGGTAGCATAGTGGTTACGAATCGGGCTGTGAACCTTAAGGTCAGCAGTTCGAAACTACCAGCTGTTCTACGAGAGAAAGATGAGGCTTTCTGCTCCCGTAAAGATTTACAGCCTCGGAAACCCTATGCAGGGTTGCTATGAGTCGGACCCGACACCACCACCACCACCATTCACTGATTGATTCAGGTTTGGACACATGACTCAACTTAATTAATATAATTGAAAACTCCAGGGGTTCTAGCTTCAGGAACATTTGGATCCAGAGGCTTGAACAACTCATTCATCTGTAGGTTCATTCAACAAGATAATTAAGCAAAATGCAATTCTCACTCTGACATTTTAGTACAACAACCTGAAAGAGGTGTTATGTTTTCCCTAGAGTTGCTAATGGGAGAAGATATAAGCTGAGGGTTTTCTGTGGCTACATCACCACTATAACAGAGAAGCTACCTGAAACTGGAAGCAATCCAGGGGAAAACAGATTGAAAGAGATGGCTGATTCTGAATCGTGCTAAACTCTAAACATGGGAGTGTCTCAAGCCTTAAATGTGTCTTCCCATTTATACTCATTTCCAGTGATCTCTTCTAATAAAGACTTTAAATATCATCATTAGATTTATAGTTCCAGAATTTTTATCTTCAGCCAATTCCTCATTTATGACAAACTTTAAAACCTACTAACTAACTACTAGCTCTGGTAGCGTAGTGGTTACAAATCGGGCTGAGAACCTTAAGGTCAGCGGCTCGAAACTACCAGCTGCTCTGCGGGAGAAAGATGAGGCTTTCTACTCCCATAAAGATTTACACTCTCGGAAACCCTGTAACAGGGTTGCTATGGGTCGAAACCGACTCGATGGCACTTAACAACAACAACTAACTACTAGATATAACCACTTCGATACTTCAGACTTTTCAAACTTAACAAGTGAAACACCCAATTCCTGATTTTCCCTTCTCCATCTTGATACATGGCAGCTCCACCCTTTTTGGATACATGGGAGGTTCATGCTTTCTAACACTGACTGTATCTTAACAACTCTCTCATAAAACACGTATCTAAATAAACAGCAAATATCCCAGCTCCTCCTTCAAAACACATTCATTACCTGACCACATCACACCACCTCCACTTCTATCATCTAGGCCCAACACACCATTTCTCTTGCCTTAATTATTTTAATAGCATTTTGATTTCCTTACTTATGCCCTTGTACCCCAGCAATGACCCTCAACAAACAGCCAAAGTGATCCCCCTTTTTTTTGCTATAGTATGGTTAGCTTCAAAGCTTTGGTTAGGTTTAGAAGAACAGTTGAATTTAGGGCTTAGCATTAGGGCTCAATTTAATGTTAGGAACAAGGTTAGAGTCAGTGTGATAGGACTGAGGGTAGACTTACGATTGGGATTAGCACTATAAATGAGTTGAGGTTAGAGCTAGAGTACTATTGCTTAAAGCTAGAAGGCAGAATTAAGTTTGGAGCTAGCAATATAGTTATGGGGCTAGGGTTAGCTTTGGGGTTAGGGTTAGGATTTGATAAAGTGATCTTTTAAAATCTAAGAGCAAGTCCCTCTTCTGTTCAACTCCTCTAATGCCTCCCTCTTTCTCAAGTAAGAGTTAAAATTGTATAATGGCTTTTTGTTCTTAAGGACCATTGAGTCAGTTCTGACTCATAGTGACCTTGTAGAGGGTTTCAAAGGAGTGCTTGGTGGGTTTGAACCATTGAACTTATGCTTAGCAGTCCAGTGCGTATCCTACAGCACCATACCAGTACACCAATGGCCTCTAGGACCCTACATTATCTGCCACTGCCTTGATTTGCACTAACTTGAAGAAATCTCTTCCCCTACAGTAATCTGATCTGTCCTTGTATATACCAAGCACAGTTCACTTTATAAACTTTGTTTTCAACATTTACATTATTCATCTTCCAGGAATGTTATCCCTACCAATCAATACTTTCTTATTTCCTACATCTCTGCTCACGTAAAACCTTATTAATGGGATAGTCTCTGGAAACCATATGTATATGAGCACTATCTTTCCCCATCCCCAGTCTTCCACATCCCTTTAACACTGTTTTGCTTTTCTCCATAGCATTTCTCACTATCTGATAAACTATATATTTTTTGTTTGCTTCATTGTGTTACTGAATGTTCCCTCCCCACTAAAATGGAAGTTTCCTAAGAAAAAACTACTTTGTCAGTTTTATATACTCTTGTATCTCCATTGCTTGGTACCTAGAAGGCACTCAAATATTTGTTGGATGGATAAATAATTCTTCAAGTCTCCAAATTCAACTTCCTTGATGCTAGAACTCCTGGATCAGAATCAGCTCAACAGCACTTAACAACAACAACATGAGCCAATTACCCTACTTAAGATAGTTGAGTTGGGGTTCTGACATTTAACCCAAAGAATCCTGTTTGCTATCCTGCTAATTAGTTTTCTGTGTCACAGTCCAACTACCTGGCTCAACAGGTCAAACAGGTGATGGAGAAAAAAGGAGAATGAATGAAAGATGGAAAGAGTAAAGGATGAGAGAAAGAGGGAAGAGAAATTAATGACAGAAGGGGATCATGAAAGAAAGGAAGACAGACAGAGAGAAACACAGATAAAATGAAAGCTAGAAGGATCTGCCTCAGGTTTGGAGTAAAAGGGAAAAGCACAGGGTCTGTCCTCATCTTCACTCACCGATGGCCAGCGTCATCACATGGAGATGGCTGCGTACCAACTTCACCACCTCACTTTTCTGCAAGGGTGTCGCTCGGCAGCAGACCACAGTTTGACACTGAGCAGTCAGCTCCAGGAACTGCTTTTGAAGACTCTCTTGCAGGGCAAACTCTAGGGTCTTCCCAGTGATGACAAGTCCAACCCGGAACCCCAAGTCCTGGGGAACAGGAGGCTGGCATAAATCCTCATTTAATAATACTTGCTCTGGAGAAGCACAGATGTTCTTCTGAAGTTCTTTCAAAATTGTGCTCATCAGCATCTCACAGGCATCCTTGAAACAGGAGGCAAAGAAGGTCAGTGCTTGGGCCTCCTGTGGTGGCTGGCCATATCCACCTACATTTGTCATTTTCATTCTTTAGCAATGGCTGCATCAAGGCAATCACTGTTGTTGTTAAGTGCCGTCAAGTCAGCTCTAACTCATAAGGACCCTGTATATGTTTCCAAGAATTGGCTGGTAGGTTTGAACTAACAATCTTGTGTTTAGCAGGATCCAACAAGGCAATACCAGTAAATAAATAAATGTATACTGTCAAAGACCTCACAATTCATTCACAGGGAGTTCTGTGTGGATATGCTAGTGGTGGTTGTGTGCTGTAAAGCCTTTTTAATGCCCCAAACCATGTTATAGTAGGCACTCAATACATATTTGTTGAATGAGTTCTACGAAAGTAGATAACAATATGCTTATCTTAAAATTATTCTGTAAATGGTCACTAAGGAGGAACTAATATCCAGGAGTATGAACGTAATTTTCATACTAAGCCTGCAATATTTTACTGAAGAACAAACCGCTTAACCAAAATCAATTTATTCTTATTTAAAACTCTGTTTCATCAAGCATTTATTAGCCGACAACAAAATAAATAAGCCACCACTTGTCTTTCAGTTTGTCGTACTGAGGTGGCTTGCCGTTGCTGTGATTCTGGAAGTTATGTCTCTAGTGTTTCAAGTACTAGCAGTGTCACCCATGGTGGACAAGCTTCAGATGAGCTTACAGATTGACAGACTACTAGGAAGAAGGAGAGACAGACTATTTCCGAATATGTACTCACTGAAAACCATATGAATAGCAGTGGAACACTGTCAGATAGCACCAGAATATTAAATATAAAAATATAATGAAGAGCACAAGAATACGATGTCAGAACATGAGCCCCTGAGGTTGGAAGGCACTCAAAACATGACTAGGGAAGAGCTGCCTCCTCAAAGTAGAGCTGACTGGGGATGACTCGAATGGAGTAAAACTTTCGGGGCCTTCATTTGCTGATTGGACACAATTCAAAATGAGGAGAAACAACTGCAAGCATCCATTAATAGTTAGAACATGTAATGTACAAACTGTCAATCTCGGAAAACTGGAAGTTATCAAAATTGAAACGGGACGCATAAATGTAGGTATCCTATGTATTGTTGTTGTTGTTGTCAGGTGCCATTGAGTCAGAACTGACTCATAGCGACCCCATGCACAGCAGAACGAAACAATGTCCGATCCTGGGCCAACCTCACTACCGCTGCCACACTTGAGTCCATCAATGATGCCACCTGGCCAATCCATCGCGTTAGGGGTCTTCCTCTTTTTCTCTGACCCTCCACCTTACCCAACATAACATCCTTCTCCAGCGACTGTTTCCTCCGGACAATATGTCCAAAGTAGGAGAGACGAAGCTTAGCCATCCTGGCCTCCAAGGAGCACTCTGGCTGCACTTCTTCCAAAACAGATCTATGGTTCTTTTGGCAGTCCATGGCACTTTCAGTATTCTCCTCCAACACCACAACTCAAAGGCACCAATTCTTCTACGATCTTCCTTAGTCACTGTCCAGCTTTCGCAACCATGAGGCTATTGAAAACACCATGGCCTGGGTCAGGCACACCTTAATCCTACGTATTATTGAGCTGAAAAGGACTGGCATTGGCCATTCTGAATCTGACAATCATGGTTTACTATGCCAGGAATGACAAATTGAAAAAGAATGGTGTTGCATTCATCATCAAAATGAACAGTTCAAGATCTATCTTGAAGTACGATGCTGTCTTTGATAGGATAATAGGATACTAATAGGATAATAATACTCAAATTAACACACCAACCACTAAAGCCAGTGATGATGAAATTGAAGAATTCTACCAACTTCTTCCACCTGAAATTGATCAAATTTGAAATCAAGATGTATTGATAATTATCAGTGATTGGAATGCAAATGTTGGAAATCAGTTATTGGAAAATGTGGTCTGAAGACAGAAATAATGCTGGAGATACAATGATAGAATTTTGCAAGATCAATGATTTCTTCATTGCAAATACCAGTTTAAAACAATATAAAAGAAGGCTATACACACGGACATCAACCGATGGAATATACAGAAATCATGTTGACTACATCTGTAGAAAGAGACAGTGGGAAAACTCCACATTATCAGCCAAAACAAGGCCAGGCACAGACTTTGAATAGACTGTCAATTGCTACTATACAAGTTCAAGATGAAGCTGATGAAAATTGAAATAGATCCACAAGAGTCAAAACGTGGACTTGGACGTATCTGACTTGAATTTAGACGCCATCTGAAGAACAGGTTTGATGCATTAGACACCGATGACCAGAAACAAGATAAGCTGTGAATTGACATCAAGCACATCACTCAGAAAGGAAGCAGTAACTCATTAAAAGGCAGGAAAGAAAGAAAAGACCAAAATCGATGTCAGAAGAGACTCCGAAACTTGCTGTCCAGCACAAAAAATTATAGCGTATTACTCTTTTTTTCCTCTTCTTACTTCCTCTAGTTGAGTTCTGCTCATCCAGTCACTGAAGCCTGATCAAACGGGTACTATCTGCAAGTATGGGTGTTCCCGTGCATCCCTCCTCACTTCATATCAGACGGATCCTTTACTCTCCGATCTAGTCCTCTGTGGCCATGTCCCTGTCCCTGGGCCCAGGAGTTCCCAGGTCTCACCATACTGCTGGCCAACCAGGTCTCAACCCAGGTTGACAGGAGTCTATTGAATGTGGTCGGACTTAGCTCACAAGTTCATTGCTGTTTTCCCCCCACTTCCACACCAATAACCCATGTTATCGGTGACCAACGTGCTCAGCAGCAAGATAACATGCCTGCTCATGTATTTCCCTTGAATCTTAGTCTTGGGAAGGGGTTTGCCCTGAGGAGACCTGACCACTTGCCTTGATGGCTACTGGGTGAACAACTTACTTGTTCTTGTAGTCGTCAATCAGATTGCTATTATCATTTTTTATTTTTCCTGCTGGTCTTTTTGTTTTGTTTTTTAAAAGTTTAAAAGTGATAGTTTACATGGGAGAACATGGGTTTTACACTCATCCTCATAGTTCGCTTCATTGCAATGATTATGATCCCGTTCATGTATACTCATTCAACAGTTTGCTTCTATTCCCTCTGCTTTTTTTTATTTTGTTTTGTTTTGTTTTTGGTTTTTAGATGTACACAAACACTCAGGAATGTATAATGATTTAAACAAGGGCACATTCTACAAGTCTGCCTCCTGGCCACCAGCACACAGCCTTTCTCTTTCCATGAGCCTAAAGTCCTCATCTGCTCTATTTCTCCATGCCCTCATCTCGGCCTCCGTCTCTGGTGTCGCTGCTTCTCTGGATAGGGTCCCACATTATGCTCATGCTCTTCTCCCTTGCTGGACCTACGGTCCTCTGTTCCTGAAATGTAAGATTAACTACTTCTCCCTTTATGTTACAAAACTTCTCTACCTTTACAGTTGTGACATTAGCAATTAGTCATGACAACAATTACTCACTATTGGATCATAAAAATCTTACCCCATCTCCTTTCACCAGGCCCATCTAGACAAGATGAAAACTATTCAGTGGGGATTCTACCTTCCCCAGCACACTTTAAAATTAACTCCCTCTTGAAAACTTGTAAGCCAGTCATTTGTGCCTTTACAGCACCCCCATTTTAGGTAGCCAATGTCTAAGTTGCCTATCCCTATCAACCCTGCGTACAGAGGGGATAGGATGAAGACTCCTTCCCTCTCAGTTGGTATTTTTAGCTACTACATCCATGATTATAGGTCAACTTCATGAAATTGTAGTAATTTACATGATTATAGGTCAACTACATCAAAATGTAGTAATTTACATCAAATTGTAAAGTAATTTACCTTTATTAAATTGTTTTATCTTCTTTTAGTCAAGTTGTGATCATCAAGCCATCAAAACTAGGTCAAATGGGTACAATCTGCAAGTTTGGGTATTCTTGTGCATCTCTCCTCACTTCATATCAACTGGACTTTTTACTGTGAGTTCTAGCCCTCCTTGGCTATGTCCTTGTCCATGGGCTCAGGAGTCCCCAGGCCTCTCCTTACTTCGGACCAACCACTTTTTCCTCTTCTCTTTCTCATCTCCAGGTCAACAGGAGTCTATGGAATGTGGCTGAACTCAGCCCTTATCTTCATTGCTGCCTTTCCCCCACTTCCACTCAACAGTAGACCAATGTGGTCACCAGCAAGCATACATGCCTGCTCATGTGATCTCTTTGCATTTCAGTCTTGGAGAGGGGGTTGTCTGAGGGACTTGATTGGTTGCCTCGATGGCTGTCCATCAAATACCTGTTTTTTTAATAATAAAAATGGTGACTAGAAACAGTGACCTTATCCCATGAAAGACAAAGGAATCAAATCATCTGCAACTGTGGAGAGACCAGTGGAGGAGCTATCATCAGTCCAAACAAGGGCTGTACATTCAAGTTGAAGTTGAAGAAAATTAAAACAAGTCCATAAGAAACAACCACCATTCATCTGTCAGTTTGTCACACTGTGGTGGCTTGTGTGTTGCTGTGATACTGGAAGTCATCCATGGTGAACAGATTTCAGATGAAATTCCAGACTAAGACAGACTTGGAAGAAGGAGGGGCAGACAACTTCTGAATGTTTTTCCACTTAACCCTTACGAATAACACTAAAACACTGTCCGATAGAATGAGAATATTGAATACTGAAACATGAATAGCACCAGAATACTACCTGATATAGTGCCAGAGATGAGCTCCGCACA